TACTACTATATAATGTATAACATAGAATAATACACAATATATTATGTATAGCACACATGCATGTATGTGAACACATCTAAAGATGTACACTAAAAAGATATATTCAATATGTAAAATATACTATAAATAAAAAAATGTCACAGAGACCATATGACACTATTTTTATAATGTTCTATAGCTTATATACAGAACACATAGTTTAATATATATATTAAAATATATACACATGGCTATATTAAAAACGTCAGACTCAGTGATCTTAGGGGTCTTTTCCAACCTAACGGAATCTATGATTCTTTATCTCTACATTTCTCTATACACACAGTATCAGACTAAACCATTTAACTTCTTATATTGTATATAACCCAATCAATAATTACTGTCCTCTAGACAGTAAACTATAGACACAGAGCCACCCCCAATGCACGCAGACCCCTAGTCTTTTATATATGGAATACCCTCAGTACATGTGTACATTTATATCCAGACACACTCTTGGTCACTCTCTCTCTCTCTATATATATATATATGACACATTATATTGCCGCTCTAAGGGGGTGCAGTGCTGTTGGCCGTGCTTTCTGGGGTGCCCCCTTGCCCCTGGGGCAGCTCATCAGCAGCTGTTGGACTCCCGGCACTGACCAACACAAAATGAAGCTGCTCGGCTGGATTTAAGTCCTGAGCGTGTCCTGGGGGCGCCCACACTGGGTCCCCACCCATTCTGGCTGGATGATGCATGGCATGGCTTGGCACGGCTCAGCACGGCTTGGCACAGCTCGGCATGGCTTGGCACAGTTTGGCATGGCTTGTCACGGCTTGACACAGCTCGGCACAGCTTGGCATGGCTCAGCACAGCCCAAACAGGAGGAGGCAGGCAGTGCAAGGGGATGAGACTGAGGCAATGCTTCAAAAAGACCCGACAAACCCCCCATTTTTTCGGATTTATGGCTTTTCTTTCACAGCTGATCAGGGCAGGGTCACAGCAGAGGTGTGTCGGGGCTCAGAGCACAGCCTGGGGAGCCCTGTATGACCAGGCTGCAGGTCCACACAACTCATCCTCTTCCAGCATGGGTCCCAGCAGGCTGGGGTCCTGGGCAGCAGCTCCTCTCTGATGCCTTCCCACGAGGCAGCAGCATTTGAGAAGGGTGAGGAGAGAGCTGCTGCCTCAGCTGCTCCCAGCCCCACACACAGATCATTTCATCATCCTGGCTCCAAGCAGGAGTTTCACCTGCACAAGGGTTTGTAGCCTTTGTGCTGTGTCTGTTCTTTAAACACAAAATGATCCTGACTCAGTTTCTAAGCCCCTGTCGTTGTGGGTTGAGGCGGATGCCCTTTTGCTGGGTAAAGTCCGCACAACTTACGCACTTGTTTAAATCACTTTGAAACAAACATCTTACAACTATCAGGGACTTGTGAAAAGAGGAGGGAAGGTAGAAGAGCAGTCCAGCTCCTTCTTGAGGGGACCCTATGCAACAGTGCTAACGCAGCATCTCATGTGCAAGTTAAGAAGAGGGCAGGGGTGGTACTGTTACCCCTGAAGAGGAAAAGAAAAATTACACGTGGAGAAGCAAGGCTCACTTCTTCATGCCGGAGCTCACAAAGCTACAAGGAGGGGCTAGAATAGGAACACAGCAGTGCCTGTTAGGGCTGTGTACTTTTTGAGTGAGCTGTGACAGAAAAAGACCAAGAACTAGGTGCCTGGCCGTCAGCACAGCAACTGCTGGAAGTTTTGAGACCCATTTTAAGCACAGAGGGCCCAACTGGGCACAATGAACCACATAATGTTAAATTAGAGTCAGGGTTTTTGAGTAGTTACTTTATTAAAGCTAAAAAAACAAGTTAAAATTACTACTACAATATTCACAGATGGCTAGCAAGTTTATAACTTCATAGAACAAGGACAGCCCAGTGCCCCTGAGGGTACAGAAACACTGACCCCTTCCTCTCTGCTAGCTCAGTTAAGACTACTGACAGTGCCTCCTGCAGATCGAGCACCAGGGGAGGGCACAGGGCAGCTGGGACCAGCAGTTCCTCAGGCTGGAGTGGAAGAGACAGCAGCCAGAGTTCCAGTGCAAATGCAAAATTGTTTCAAGATTACGGATTAAACTGTACCCAATATATTCACAGCTCAGGATGAGGAAGGCAGCTGGAATGAACACCTTGGATAAATAATCTCTACTCACTACAGAAATTCCAGAGGAAAGTTTCTTTCCATCAGCCCAGGACCCACACACACAAATATTTACAAAGAACTAGAAACAATCTACCAAGAACTAGTGTTTGACTCCCTTGCTGGTGCCAGAAGCTGGCAGGCAGGACAGTCAGCAGGATGTTGCTGCAGCAAAAGATACCAACAATTTTAAAAAAAGTCACCAGCAACGTGGTCTAAAGAAGAATGACACAACCCAGTCATGGGGCAGCTTCTGGGCTCCTTAGTTGAGCTCCTCTTTGATCGGGGTACAACCCGAGAAAAAGCTCGTATTGCTACTCAGCATTCTCTTCTTTCTCTTGACAAGGGGTATGTGGTTCTCTTGGGACTCATCATCTCTCACCAGCAGGGAAGCAGCAGTGCTGGGCTTCTTCAGGAACACATCTTGGTCTGTGATATCTTTCAGCACCTAGCAGAAAAGCAAGACAGACAATTCTGGAGCTGGTCCCAGCCCTGAAGAAGCCAGCCAGCTCGTGCTGGAGCTTGGAGGCAGCACATGCAGAAGTTGCCAGGCCCAACATCAAGAGTTGCTTCATTTCTTTACTCAACTCAAAATTCTAAGGACAAAATTAATGGTCTGAGAAAGAAGAGACAGCCTTTGGAATAGAGTGCAGAGGGCACACATGGGATAAGTCAATTCATCTAGCTGAGGCAAAATTACAGCTGTCAAGTCAGAGTGCCAATGGCTTAAGAATAGTAAGTTTGGTCGTAGACAGATACAATTTTGTCCTTTGAGCTCCTCCATTACCAGTCTCTTACTGCTGGAAGGTTCAGGAGAAAAGTATGGCAAGCCTGCATGGCAAAGTTTCAGTACAAAACCTTAAGAATTCAGCAGACTCGAAACTTAAATACAATCTGGCTTGACACCTGTCTGTTCAGAATTTTCTAGCAGCAGTCTACCACCTTAGGTTTTTTTCTTCTCTAAGACCCACCACTAGCTGTAACCAGGTGTGCACACACTCAGAACCAGGGTTCTTTCTTACAGCTATAGGCAGTACCTTTGTAGTTGGTGTGATGCACACAGGCTGAAAGAAGGTCTCTCCTGCAGTCACTTCGGTGGGGTCTTCGAGTTTGAAGGAACCTTCAAAGTCCCTGGTTTGGTCCTCACACGGGGTGGCATCCTGAGGGGCAGCACTAGTTTGAAGCACTTCTACAATATCCATCCCTTCCTTCCCCACCAACAGCTGAAGAGATACTAGGGGTCCCTAAGCCCCCTTCTCTCCAGTTGCAAAGTAACTCACCATACGGGATGCTACATGCCTCTGTCAGGCAACTGGTTTCATAAAACAGTCAAGAATTAAAGAACTACTATGGGAGGTGTCTGCTTCAAATCTCTAAGATCCAAGAGGAAGGCAGACATTTCCAGCAAGAGTTCTAACCAACATCAGCTGTTCGTGAACCTTCCTGATGCTACAACTCCCTCCTCAAATTATTTTTTTTAAAGAATGGAAGGGATAATCTGAAAATGACTTCCATGTTTGTGCCATCTGAAGCTAAAGATACAACTTTTATTTAATATGTGCAAAAGGAAGACTTAAATTGTCTTCAGATTCGTAGCTGACAACTGGCAGTAGGTAAATCTGACTGGGGACACCACACAGATTTCTGTATTTGGTGCAAGAGCCTGGTCCTGCAGGGGAAAACTTTGTACTCAGTTACCACAGATAAACTACAGGTACATTTCCAAGCATTTCAGAAAGGGGCATAAGCTTTAGCTTGACAAACTGTGTACGTACACTAATAACATAACCGCCGGCCCATCCATCCAGCTTTGCGAGAGCACGCCGTGTAGGCTGTGCACCACTGCTGCCACCGCAGCACTACTCACCTGAAAGCCAGCCTCTCTGTTTCTGCATCTTGTTGAGTCACAGCTACAGCCGTTGGTGCAGCCCACCTTCTGCTTCCTGCAGCCGCACTGCCGATTCCCACACCGGCCCTTGCAGGAGCACTAAGAGAAGAATTTTGTGCAGAAAGAGGTTTGGTGTTTTATAGACTGCATCTAGATCACTACAGCTGTCAACACTTCCAGCAATCTAAAGGACAGTACCATCCCCAAACTGCCAGGAAGCTTTTATTGTTTCACTGTCAGTCCTGCATCCCAGGAAAAGAAACAAGGTCTTTCCACCTACAGCCCCATCTCTTGCTTCAGTAGGCCCAAAATCAGCATCACCAATTACTCAATCCCTGACTTCAAGTTATCCAAAAGGATGCCAGTGTATCAAATAATCACACTGACATTTATGTACGAGGAGGCAAATCCGAGTCCCCATACCCAGGGCCCTCCATCTAGGCAGAGCTGATCCATTTTAGCTACTTCATGGCCTATCAGAGCAACGAACCTCTCTCATTTCTGGGTATGTGAAGCAGTAGCAGACTGCACAGACCAGCTGCTCCAAACTACAGCTCTGAGCTGAGCAGTAATTTGCACTGAAGCTCCACTGGGCTACGTAATGGACTCGTAAGAGTTCAAGTATCAAGCACAAACCCTCCTTCCTGCAACACAGACAAAAAGAACTCCCCAAAACCCAAACCACTCGGAGTACTGTAATTCAGAATGGATCAGGTTGACAAGCTCCAGTGAAAGGAGGGAAGTGATTCCCTTATAATTAATAACGAGTCAAAGGTAACTGCATCTTACCCCCAGCACGCTTTTCTTTGGTCCTTTGGCTGCTTTTACTGGAACCCACTCTGCATCCGTCTCCCCTCCAGACTCCCCCGAGTCAGAGAACAGCTCTTCCACATGCATTACTGGGGTCGGTGCACGGGGTTTTGCTGTCGTTTGCCGGCGAGTCTTTGGCTACACACAGAAATTATAAGGGTTGAGGCCCGAGAAGAAATAACAGTGGGTTTATGTTTTATTAAGGCACTTCAGAGTGCCACCACCACAGCCCCATTCCTCTCAGAGGGCCAAGAAGGACATAGGGTTAGGGAGGAGACAAGAGATCAAGCTGTCAGGGATTAAAAATCAAATCAGTCAATGTAAACTGTTAGAGTTTATAAAGATATCGAGTTGATAAATCCTTGGAAAATTAATAGATCTGTTTCACAGTCTTGGCAAAAATAGTTCTAGGTCATTTATTCCTCCCAGCAATAGATTTGGCTCTTTTGCAAAGTCATGATTACATTTTTTATGACAGATGCCTTGCTCCATGACTCAGAGACTGGAAATGCTACAGAGAGAACACCTGGATTGCTAAGGAGAATACAGAGTCAGACACAAGTGGACACCGAGGAATCAGGTTTGGGTTTTGGTGGGGTTTGTTTGTTTTTAAAGATCTAAAGACCAATGCAAGCTATTTTCAGAAGTATTCTGAAAACAGAAACCTTAAGGACTGTCTGAAGTAGAGACCAGGCTTACTTCAACAAGTGGAACAAGATGCTGTGTAAAAAGCAACTTGGGAGAAGGAAACCAAGATTATTAATAGCCAGTATGAACTTTTGATAAGAACCCAGGTACAACATAAGCATGAAAATTGGTATGCAGAATCCTTACTTTGGGTGGAATATAATCAAAAGAAGAATCTGGGGAGTCAGACGGGATTTGCTGAATGTGACGGAGCTTCTGTCCACTGGCAACTTGGAGGAGCAGCAGTTTCTGTTAAGAGGGACAAAAGAGTTAGCTTTGTAAAATACAGTAACCCAATTGCCAAGCAGCTCTTTTGTCTGTACAGGTCTCTACCTGTTTAAGAGTGTCGTTTTCCTGGAGAAGTTCTTGGTTCTTCTGACAGATCTCCCTCATTTTCTCCAACTCTTCCTCCTGTTGGCAAGACAAGATGAAATCTGTAGGCTTACGTGGAGGTAGCACAAATAGTTGTTTGGGACAGATTTTTCTATTTGGATCTTTCTTGCAAGATCAAAAGGGCTGCTTTGTATTCTCCAACAGGAGATCAGCTCTGACTAATCAGGAAAATCATTAGTGCCGATACCTTTATTTTAATGCGTAACACTGTCAATACAACAGAGAGAATTTGATCCTTTCAGAGTGATCACTTAAGATCTAAACTCCCTCTTTCTAAAGGCTTCTCTCCCAATCAGGTGCACCTAGACTGTTTTTGCTTTAAAACATCACTGAACAGGCCCTGCCACAGAAGCTTGCTACACCACTTAATTCTTAGTGCCAAGACAAGGTGCAGCTTGTAACATGTTTACATGACCAAGCCAAAGTTCTTTGCTCTGCTCAGCAAAGGATTAGTAACAGCGTGTTGAATATCCTCACTAAAGGTGCTCTGAGCATGGAAGAAGTTTGTACAAGCTGGTCAGACTGTAGCAGGCCTCGTAGCTGTATTTACATTTATTTAATGGAAGAAGATACATAAGAGAAAAAACCCACAGGCTTACTCAGACCTGTATGGCAACCATCCCCTGCAACAACTGAATCGAGCAATCTTAGCTACGAATGGAAACACTCTCAATCCTTCTGCATCTCCCTCACTCTAAAGCTACTATTCCAATTAACAGGTAGCCCTAATGAGCACACCCTCCCCAAGCCACATCCAGACACTCTACCTGGAACTTGAGTCGCTCTTGCAGCTGTTTCTCCTGCTCATTCAGTGACTCTTCCAGTCTCTTCTCTGCTGCTTCTTTTTGCTGAAATTGGCTAAGCAGGTACAGAACCTAAAACCAAGTTAATATAGCAGAGACAGACGTGAATTCCTAAACAGACACCTGGCAGCCCAGGCATCGAAGGCCTTGATAATTTTGGAAAGATTCTTTCTGCCACTTCCAGCATGATTCCACCCTGATCTACTTGAAAAGTTGTCTGGTGCTCAGGTGTAACATCCGCGCTTAAAGCACTGCAAAAAGTTATTGAATAAAACAACTTGCATAGGACAGAAGACTTAATAGTAACAAAAGCCCAAGAAATCTCCCTATCTGCAAGAGTCTAACAAATCCTGATCTGATATACAGCCATGGATTGGTTTCAGCACATCTCCTTTGTCTTTATCTCTGAGCAGATCTGGGAATCAGTCTCAGGATTTCTGTCCCTTATGTTTTACCTTTTCTTGGTGGTGTTGTTCCTGCACCAAAAGATGATTTTGGAAATCAGCCTCCATCTCTGTTATGTGGTTTCGCTCTTCAATCAGCATCTTTTGCATGTCCGAGCAGCTGGCTTTACTCTGCTGAAGGCTGCTCTCCAGTTTGCTTTCCTGCACCTTTGAGGAGACCAGCTGAAAAACAAAAGCAAGATGATTGCTTGGCATCGAGTTCCATGTTTCATCACATCTGTTGGGACAGACATGCTGCAGTCTGAAGGCGAAGCATTTCTCTTTTATTTCCAGCCACCCTAAGAATTGGACTGGTCATCAGCAACAAGGAGACTAGACACAAGATTCAGAGCTACACATCTGACAACCAGTGTGGAAACGTGAATGTTAGCAGTTCTAGATTAATCTCCTTTCCTATAGCACTTTAAATCAGAGTATTGAGGGGGACCCCAAAAATAAATGCTCCCCCTTATCAGCTCCTTCATTCTTTTCCTTTCATTTCCAAGAACCAGGGCCTGATATACAGTTCTGTCATTCAGTTGCTCTTTCCTCAATTCCACGTTAGCCCAATTCCTGCTCTCTCCTACCCCCGGTCTTGTTCGAGCTTCTCTCATCTCAACATCCATTCCACTCTGACCTCAGAGAGTCCTCCCCTTGTCTCCCTGCAGGGAGGCAAAGTGATTTACAGTACAGAATATTTTAATCAGGAGTTGTGAGGGAAATCAACCTCATCCAGAACAAGAGTGCTTCAGCTGAATTCATCTCTGCTGTCAGCCTGTTAGTCACTTCCTTTCACTCCTGGCTAAGCAGACTTAGAGCCTTTGTTTTTAGTGACAAAATAGGAAAATTCAGAATTTACCTCTCCAAGGAGATACTTCAAAGCACATTTAGCCTCTAGAATTGTTGCAATACTGTCCCAACGCTGTTTCGCACGATCTCCATTGTCTGCATCCAAGAGTTTCTGCTGTAGATCCGCTATCTGGGCACTCCTTTGGAAAAAGGCATGTATTTGAGGTTACAACACAGGAAAAAACCTGGGCTAAAGTTACTGTCACCAGAATATTAGACAAAATAGTTCCAGTTAGAATTCTGACTGCTTAATATGGCAGCTGGAGTCTGCAATGTGATACCAGGGAGTTTCTCCTCACCTCCACACTTCCAAGGAAAAGTGCAGTGTTCCCCTCATACAGAGATGCTCACAAACAGCTAAGAAAAAAGCCATCTTAGTGACCGAGTAGTGTCCTTGTAACCCAACATGTAGGAAAAATTCAAACCAGGAAAGCCATGTGGTCTTATCTCAGCATTTTTAGTGTCAGTGTATAAGTTATTTTACTTTCTCTTCTGTTTCACAGAGGAGTTGTAGATAAAGATGAGGAAAAAAACCAGAGGCAAGGTTGTGTAAATCAGCATTTTTCTACTGCCTTACCTGAGCCCCATCTCAGTTTCCAGGCTTTCTATCTGCTTCGATATGGAAACGTCCATCTCTGATGCCTCCAAATCTGCGAGGGAGTAGGTGCGTCTCTAAAGAATTGCAGCAATGGACAGAAGGGAGCAATAGGTGAAGAAATGCAGATGACTGGGCTTTCATTTACAGACATTTCAGCAAAGAGCTGTACTATTATAAAAGCCTCCAAGTATCTCTCTATAGCTTAAATGCCATTGCTCCTTCCCAAAAGCATAGAGTCTTTGATAAGGGGTGTGACCCACTCACATCCATCAGATTCAATGCATTAAGTAATGAGTTACTTTAATTCTGTTCCCTGACATGCCAGAAGACAGTAACAGAAAGGGAACCAACCACCTCCATCCCTGCCTTCTGAGGGAAAAGGGCAAATAGGAGAGAATAAGTTCTAGTACTTGCTGCATAGCCTGAGGTGTGGGACAGGGAAAATGGCATTTCCCTCTCTCTTACCCGGAGCTTTAGAGGTGGGTTTTCCCCAGCCTCTTTCTTCTCTTTAAGCTGAAGGAGCTCCTGTGCCAAGATCTTTCTGTCCTCCAGAAGGTCTGCAAGGTGCCGTCGAGCCTCTTCAGTACTAACAAGAACCTCTACTTCATTTGCAAGCCAGCTCTGGAGGGAAAAAAGCCATCAAAACCCAAAAAACAGTATAGTGGCTCACTGTAGTCCCAGCTTCAGGACTGAACCCTCGGAAATGCCTTCACAGGTAACCTAAGTAATCACACTGCCTCGCTTAATATATAATTCTGTGTTCCTCCCCTCTGCTCTCCAGCCATCAAACCCATCTTTGTTAACTCCGTAGGTGCTGCTAAGTTTGCCCATTGTTTGTTGCAATGCACAACACATTGTCACCCACTTTTACTCGTGCAGCAACTCCTTCCATTCCCCGATTTTGAGTCTCTTTCCGTTTATCTGCAGCCTCCCGTTGTTTCTGCAGAGCATCCTTTAAGCGCTTGTTAGCAGCTGCTGCCTGTAAAATATTTTAGTAGTTACTTAATAATCTGCAACAGTTGAAAACAAAGTATTCCCAATGCAAGCCAGCCATTGAGACAATGAGAGCTTAGGGTTAATAAAACCAGAACAACTTTAGAATTAAGTGAAGACTAGAGAGTCCGTTACTTTATTTCCTTTGCTGAGATTCCCAGTTTAAAGACAACCTGCTCTGAGGCCTAATCATAGAAGAAAGCATTCAAAATGTGGGTTTCAAGATGCATTTCTTCTATACAGCCATCCTGAAAAGAATTTTGAACTGCAATCTAGCATGTCCACCCAAGCTCATTTTAGACTTTCTAACCTGGGTTTCTGTAATAGCTTTGCCACAGCAGCTTGATGGCTCAAAAGGTAATTTACCCTTTAAGAAGCAAATTGAACTAGAATCCCTCAAAGGCTACAAGGCAGAAGCATGATATTTTTCTACAGAGAAGAAAGCACCTAATTCCAGATCTTCAAACTGCTTTTAAGAAGCTTCTGCGTATTCTATTACAACCTCCAACCATGCTCTGCAGACCTTCAGGAATTGATCAGGAGTTTTTAGCAGATACCAGCTCCTTACCTCTTCTGTTTTGCGCCGAAGTACACTGGCCTGCTTCTGGAAATCTCGTTCTAGCTTAAGTAGCTCATATTGCCTCTTGCGATCCTGCAGGGAAAAAATGTTAAGACAGGTGGAAAAAAAAAAATCATATCCCATTAATACTTCTGGCCATTTTCACCCTTCTTGGAACAGAATAATTACATTTGCCATTCTGCAACACAAGTGCTTCACGGTAATTATTTCACTGATCATTGCGAGCTTAAGCGATGTACTACCTCCGAGAACAAGTGGCTGTTAGGGGCTGCACACTTGCCATTAAAAAGGTTTAGGAGCCTAAAGGCTGTCCGAGACCTCAGACCTAAAGTTTAAGACTTAGGATCCTAAAGCACGGAGGAGCAAACTTGTTACAGTAAGAATTCCCGTGAGACCAGAACTCAAGAGGTGCAGATGTTTGCTATCCATTGCACTTGAATGCTACAAGCAGCTGGGTTTCATTAACAAGTCTCACTGTTTACCTGCAGCTTCAATAACCCTTTGAAAGTTTAAATACCTCCCATTCTGTGGCCAAACCCTACAACTTCAAGTACTTAAAAATATTAAATATTTTTGCCTCCTGCTTTAGAGATGATTCATGACAACTGTGTTGATAGCTTTAAGATCTCCAGACATAAGCCAGTCCATTTACACCAACTGGTGAAAGGTGGCAACCATATGAACTAACCTTATCTTCAAAGCATTCCCCAGATGTTTTTCAGATGCTTGCTAGTTAAACAAAGCCTTGCAGCAAACACCTTAATGATTTGTTTCACTCTTCGCAGGGAGGTACAGTTTAGGGGCTTATTGTTTGCTCACCCGTGCTTTCAGCTGGATCACTTCCTTGTCCTTCTGTTGTTTCCATTGCCTGAATTTCTCAGCATCTTCTTTCATTTGGCGCATCAGCTGTACTCGTTGGCTTTTCATTTCCTGAAAAATAGAAGCGGTACTTGCATGCTGGGTAGTTTCAACCTACACTCCCCTAGTGCCTGTCAGGGGCGAGGGGTGGCAGACGGGAAATATTACAATGTGCTGCCCGCTCCGAGTACATGCCTAAGGACACCCTCAAAGTGCTAAAATCCAGGAATTCATCTTTTAAGGCATGAAGAGAAGACTAACACATGCACGGTACACACATGGTGTGCACAAAGTGAAGCCAAGTGATTCAACCGAGGCAATTAATTATCGGAATAGCATGAAGCAGCTCTGGGCTTCTTCTATCCCCAAGCCTCAGTAGTCACCTGCCTATTTTATTACACCAGCAATCGTGGTCACGTAGCCAAAAGGAATATCTTGCCAAAAAACTGCTGTTCTCAGTCTAACAAAACAGAAAGTATGTGCATTCTGTCTGAAAGCTGCTTTGTCTACAACGGAGCAAGCCTGAGAACTGCACGCTAGGGTTGGTTACCCTGATCTCCTGGTTCAGCTTGGAGACTGTGCGCTCTGTAGACTCCTTCAGCTTTAATAGCTTTGATTGCTCATTCAGCTTTTTCTTCAGCTCATTTATTTGCCCTTCCAACTCCAGAAGTCTCTTCCGACGCCGTTCACTCAGTCTGTAAAGAAATCACACTTTAAAAACAGGTCCCCCCAATTACTGTTATTCTCAATCAAGGATTCTCGAACTTTGGAGACACCTCATGAAAACCCAGGCAATTGTGGATTATAGCCTTTCCCACTGATGAGAGCCCACTATCAGGCTCCTCTGCAATTCACATAACTCCCACAGCCGTTAAAGGGATGCATTTGCATCAAAATAAGAGCTTTTACAAATAGCAGAAACGCAGTACAATGACTTTTTACAGGGACATTAACACAATTTTCAGTGCTATAAGCCACACAGCTTGCACAGTCACTCTTACTTGGCTTGGTTGACATCCTTCTTTGCCATATGCAGAGCAAGGATCAACTCTTCCTTTTCTTTTTGCAAATTGCTGACCTCCAGCTCCAGATCCTTGATATTAGTCTAGAAAGGACAAGAGTAGTAAGTCTCCAAATAAAAGCCTTGAAACTCCACTCTGAGACAAAGCTTTAAGACAGAAGGCCTTGAAAAACCACACTCCTGTGGCTAACAGCTTATCTCAGGGACAAGACCATCTTCTGTGGCAGAGCTGTCTGTAGGTAGCTGGGCACGGTCATCCCTCCCCCTTCTCTACTGACCCCTGTAGTTAACTGCCCCCCACGTCCAAGGGGGCAGTGACCCAGCTTCAGGAAACCCAGTGAGAACACGCTCATGAGAGGACAGATCTTCCCTTCCCTCCTCACCATGCAGTGACTGCTTTAAACAGGTAAAAAGAAACTGAACATAGCCTTCCAAGAACTATTTCAGAAGAGTTTACCTGGTATTGGGACTGAATGGGCTCCAGCTGACTATCATTCTGGGTCATTTTTTTGGCAAGTGCCTCTTTCAGAGACAGGGCTTTGTTCAATTCAAGCAGCTCTTTGGACATCTGTGCTTGACGGAGGGCATGTTGAGTGGTGAAGTCATCCGAAGATCTCTTGGTATCCTGGCCCATCTCAGCTTCCTGGAGGAGACACAGCAGTGAGCTGGAGAGGCCAGCCGAAAGCTCTTCAACTACCTGGTCAGAGTTTTTGCAGAACACCGCAAATTCTGCCCCCCTTTCCCCCCCACCAAAAAAAAAGTAGATATTCAGAAATTAGAATAGGTTATTGACACATTATTTACCAACATTTGGATTAGAAAATTGGCATAAGGATGCAGATAAAAGAGGGATGAGGGGATAAAAACATGCCCCTGGTAAGGTCTGCACTGCTGGACTCTCCTCACTTACAGCTGTAGCATCCTGCTCAGAGCTTGCCATCTCCGCAGCAGCTTCCATTGTAGCAGCATTTTCACTCTATGCAGGACAAAGAGAAGAAACTTTTGGTAAAAGGTGAAAGATGAAGCAAAATGAAGCCAATAACAGTCTGTTGGCCTATGACAAAGCATAATGTTATTCTCCTCTGCCCAGAAAGCTGTATCTGGGAAAGAGGATGCCATTGTTTTCCTCCTTAGTAAAGTGAGCACACTCCTCCTGGACTAGCTGGACAAGGCACTCTTTCTAGTCCTCCCTGAACTCCACCATTGGCAGCCAGCTCCTCACAAGAGTCAGGAAGAGGGGGAAGGTCTAGCAAGGGAGAACAGAGAAGTTCCTCAATTAGACAAAGATTTGGCAACTTCTATTTAACAATTTCAGGTCTCTGCAGCTTGGGTCACTCATTAAAACTACCAAGTTCATAACTGTCCTTCCAACTTTTGGATTGTAAATCCACGCTAATCTCCCACTTTCAGATTCTTTTATGAAGACTCTTCCACTTAAGCACAAGGGGCCTTTCTGCAGCATTAAAAGCACAGCAGGACAGCTTGTTTTGAAAGGGATATCAAGAGTAATTCCTTGTAATTCCTGGGCTCCTCAAGCAAGGTTTCTGCAGAGTGGAATCCACTGCTCAGCAGATTGGCAGAAGAACCTAGATTTCATTTGTAAACTCACTCAGCACAGTCTTTTCTCTCCCCGGATTCAGTCTTACCTGAAACTGAGCCAACACTTGCTGCAGATCGCGAATCACCTCTACGTTCTCTTTTAGTTCCGCATCTTCTACAGTCTCTACCAGCTTCTGCAGATCAAGCTTGCATCTGCAACGCAGACACAGGAATGAGTCCATGAGTATTACCTGGCACGTTTGTGTCACACGTGCCAATAAGGAACAGCTTTCCCCACTGAACATACAAATGAGCTCTGGATGACCAAACACAAATTGACTGTATCCAGTTTATCCCAACAAAAACAATTAATGCAGAAAGATACTTCCTCAGCATGAGTAGGGTGTGGAAACAGACTTACAGAGCATGTTGCTGAAGTTGTTCTAGTTTGGCATTCATCTTCTCATTTTCTTGTTCTGTCTAAGAGAAGGCAGAATTATACTGAATTGTAGGAGAAGCAAAGTGAGAAGCCAGCAAACAACTAATTTATTTGTAGCAAAAGATATGTTGTCAGTTTGTGGCAAATCAATGTACTGAAAGATCCTGCATGATCATCACTGTTAGTCTGCTTAGACTTAACACCCTTTTTGTCAGAAATATACACTGCAGGGAACCAAATCAAAGCAGAGCAGGGTGGGGAAGAGAGAGGAGAGAAAGCACCTGTGCAAGTGCTGGTATTTCAAACATTAAAGCAATAGAAAAGCTGAAAGATTCAGGTCTACTTTTCCCCACTGAAGCCACCAGATGTATAGGCTCTGACAGGATGTCCTGTCTTACAGAACTACTACTGATTAATCTTCAGCTACAAGGGGGAGTCATGCAACTTAAAGCTCTTCCTGGGTAACTGAACCTTACCAGAATGATCCTCTCCAACATCTGTGCTGTCTGACCAGCAGCCTCACTCAGCCCTCGGCTCAGCTTCTGATTCTCCTCCATTAGCGACTGGTTCTTCTCCATCAGGGACTGAAGATTCTCCGAAGGTGCCATACTACTGAAACATTAAAGACCAGTTTGCTTGTGAACGTGATTTTTCTAGAGGTTTGTAATAGCACTGAAATTGCCTCCAAGGTTCCTAAACAACTTACAATAAATATGGGTTGTAGCAGATGAACAGAAATAACTGGAGGAAGTCTAATCTCAATTTAAAAAACTTAAGTACTATAGGATACCAAAAGTAGACTTTTGCAAGAGAAGAAAACACCCTTTGAAACAGTAATGCTGTTTAACCATGGCAAGCCTGTAAACTGCATGTACTGGGTTTTGAAACATCCTGAGAAGACAATACCTACACATTCCAACTCTTCCCTGCATTTTGTGCTTTTAAGAACAACGGAGATGGAGGTGCCCTGTATTTAGGGGCAGAGGGGTGAGGAAGAAGAGAGATGCATTGGTCAGAGAAACAGATGCTTCTTTAGGAGACATTGCCTAGTTCCTCTCATATTTCCTTGCACTGATTTTTTTGCGATCTTAAAGAGCTTGTTACAAAACTAAATGACCCATACATGCATGGAATTTCAGTAAGTATAACAAAAAGAACAAAAGGAGGAAAAACCAAAATTGTCTAGATCCTATTAGTAAGTGACCAGTTTGGTCTTCCCCCACTCTACAGCACTGTCTGGAGCAAAGGAGATTTAGATAGAGCCTTTGCTGATGGGTGATGCCCATCAGATAGATTGAGCATTCATCTATAAATCTTACTTGACAGACACTGGGAGGGTCCCTCCATGGGCCTGCAGCAGTAACACCTGTAGCTGTTGAACCTGGAAAGAAACAATCATTTCTTGTAAATGTCTCCCATACAGTAACTAGATGGTTGAAGGAACACTTAAGATCCTTCGTCTTATCAAGAATCACGGGCTCCACAACTCTCCTTTTACCATTGCCCGTGGAAAGGAATCATGTTGCTACAGTATTTCAATTAATTTACTCCTAAAAAAAAACCTGACCTGCTCTTCATCAGGAATGCTCAGATCGGAGCATGTTTGTTATTCATGTATTCCCCTTATACCAATCTCAAAAGAGAAACACATACTAAATATCTTCTGCACATTTTCTGTAGCTGGGCATCCTGTGTCTTTGCTTGCTGTTTACTGAGCTTACGACCAAAAAGATAGATCCATTCCTCTCACATGAAGAAAGCACCCAAGTACCTGCTGCTTCAGGTGATGCAGCTCAGCCGCCTGGGGATCGAGGTTGACAATTGGTTTATTTTTTATTTTTCTTGCTCTGTCAGCATAACGCAAAGTATTTAGAGTTTCTTCTAAATTGGAATCCGCTGGGCTTACACAGGCAATCATGAGAGTGTGGCTGTTACCACCCAAAGAATCTGAGAAGGAAAACAAGGCACAAACAATGCTCAGAGAGAGCAAGAATGACTAGGAAGATATCTTTAAGACCTCTAAGACCACATGAGTGCATCTCTATACTACAGCTAGAAGATATCCAGCCCCAATAATACTGTTGTCCTGTTAAGTAATTGCTGTAATTTCTGTCTCCCATTTCTGGCATAGTTCTTCCAGGTTTTCCCCTCCCTTCTCCCACACAGTAATACTCAAGACATCCATGGACAGATATCAGAATTTACACTATCTTCCAATTTAAAGAATTATTGGCTAAGAACATGTTTGTTCAGATCATCAAGCTGCATGGCATTTTATCCTTTGGTATTACACGTATTTATGAGACACTTATTTATGAGTCCATCTCAATGCATTTGTAACCTAAAAATAAGAGTATAGATAAGGTCCAGCCTTCAGCAAGGAGAGGAACTGAACCAATAAAAGCAATCCCTTTGTCAATAGCAGCTATGGCTTTGAACTGCAGTTGTACAGCTGTTAGGGGGTTTTGCTACTTTGTTATTTAAAGTGCATCTGTAGATTTAGGCTTTATCATCACCCATCTCTTACCTTGCAGCAGTCTTGTTAACTTTGAGTCTCTGTAGGGGACAAACCCGCCCTTTTTATTTTCATCACCCAGAGCACTAATCACATTCCCCAGGCAGAGGAGACCTCTGTTTATGTTGATGCCTGCATGCAAACAGATCACAGTGAGTAGAGCTACCTCAACAGCTAATAACTGGTCACTTTGTATCCTTATTTAAAAATTTTAAAAGGTTAAAATAAAGCACGTTATAAGGGTTAAATAACTGCTTTGCTTTTCCTGACAAGGACTCAATTTCTGAACTCAGAAGTGGTAAGAAACCCAAGCTATACCAGTCTCTTTTAGTCGGTCTCCCTCAGCCTTGGTCTTCTTTTGTCTCTCAGAGCCAGCAAGATCAACCAGGTGTAGCTTGGAGTGAAAGCTGGTGTTCCTATGGCACAAACAGACTCTTTTACTCTCTCAAATAAACATGTAGTTAGGCAAGGAGCAGTCCAGTGGCTACTACAGTTGAGCTACCAGGCTGAAAAACATACTTCATACCAGAGACACCCAAACAAAGGAACTGCCCCAAGAGGCTGAGCTGAGTTCATCCCAGACCAAGAAAGAATGACAGGACTATGAAATTTTGAAAGTCTGGCTCCTAACAGCTGCTAGGAGTAGCTGCACAATCACACTTACTTGTCATTTTTCTTTTTCTGATCAATGCAAACAGTGAAGATGGCATGGGACCGCGAGGACTGGGAGTTCATTGCCGTGGAGGCCACCGTTCTGGAATTGTTCCCTTGCTCTAAGCAGGATACAGTATCTTGGGCACAGGTGACATTTCTTTCTGTTAACCCTACAATCTGTATCCAGGGAGAAAGACGACAGTGAGCAGCAAAATATTACACATAAAAACATTAATGGATCAAAGCCACAGGTGACATCAACACCTAAGTTGTGTGTGTGACAACTGTCAGCCTACCCACCCCTGCAAACTGAAACTGTATGAATGAAGAACAGCCGATAGATGGAAGTTTAACTACAAAACAAGTACACAGAGTAAGCAGTAGCACAAGATTTTTTTTCTTTTACAGTGCACATCTGTACAAAACTACTAAGAAAATAACTTGAACATTTGAATAGCTTCCCTTCAGGATCCCTTTGTTGCACACTACATCTGCCAAACCAAAGAGCACAATTGCAACAGAGTTTGAAATCTGGTGAAGGGACCTAAAGTACAACATTATCAGATATTCACCCAAATCAGCCTTCAAAAAAAGTCAGAACAGGACTTGCAAATGGCTTTGTCATGACTGTCTAACCCTATTGGCGTTACCCTTTGAGTGAACTCAAGAGTCACCAAGAGCTCAATTTATATAAAGCAGTGCTCAAGGAATCAGACAGTTGTTTCACCAAAACGTTCGTCCCTAGCCATGCCACCCCCTTATGCACCTACATCTACCCAGGCCACAGACCTTTATGCCTTCTTTAGGATCTTCCCGTATACTGATTTGAGAAGAGCGCTCTCTTGACGGGCACAGCAGGTCTAGAATATCCTCATTGTAGATCTGAAAGCAGCAGAACAGCAGTTCAGAACGAGCAGGCTCACAAGAGAACAATTTGCATATAGAACGATGTACAGTTACACTGAAATCATGGCTAACTCTGTGTGACTTTATATTCATTTTACCTTTAAAAAAAGATAGCTAGGACTCAGAATCCAGTTCCTGACAAAGCCTTATGTAGTCTTAGGTTTTGATTTAACAATAAATACCTGCTACTTGAAGGAGGTGGCCTCATTAAAGCTCACTTTATGTGCTATTCACAACTTTGTAATAGTTTTAAAATCGAAACAACTTTTACCTCTAGATAAGAAACTTTGAGGACGAATTCCCAATCCTGTCTTTGCTCCTTCTCCTTAAACAGCAGTTTGATGACCCGAGGGATGACCCCCACACTGGGGTCATCCTCTTGACTGGCAGTGTAGGTACCTCCCATAGAGTACGTTTTTCCAGATCCCGTCTGTCCGTAGGCTAAGACAGTGGCATTATACCCTGGGGGAACAAAGGGCACCTGGATCAGATGGTCACGTGGGAATCAGAAAAAACTTCGGTGAACAAAGCTGCATTCTAGTAAAAGCATTCTTCCAAAAAAGCACTGTCCCTCGCTGCCACTTTACCCAGCCTTTATATACAGGTCGCAGTTAGCAACACCAAGGAAAAAAGTCAATTAAAAGCCCCCCAAAGCACAGATAAAACTATTCTTCCAGCTTTATAAGCCCGCTCTGTTGCTGTACTAGAGTTAGTCACAGAAACACAGTGTAAGGTCTCTGTCATCCCAGCTCCGCTGTAGCATCAGTAACGAGTTCTGGTACAGGATGCTTATATCCTTAGTACAGTTCTCCTACCTTATATAAATAGCTTCAGGAATTAAAAAGACCCCATGAACACACACAGGTCACTTTGATAGCCCAACAGAGTACAACTGCTTCTGAACAGGGAAGATCTGGCACTTCCCACTAGAGACTGGAGCCATGGTCTAGACAGCACAGGATTTTATTTTCTGAGAAGACCAAAGAATAAATGAGCTAGAATAGAGAACTAAACAGAGCAGCACTTCCTTCCACACACCTGCACCCCCCAAAGCCCCCCAGTATTTTAAAACAGAGCTTGACCGCAGTCACTACAAACCTTTGAAGATGCCCCGTATGAGCGGGGCGACGGCTGTGTTGAAGACTTCCTCTTGTTCAACAGAGGGGTCGAACACATAGTCATAGGTGAACGACTTATCGTTCCCCACCACCACCTGCGGGGAGAGAAGGGACAGCGCTCAGCGAG